GGGGGGGAGATTCGCGACGAAAACTCCTCTTGGAAACTCGTGGGTTTGATGCACACAGATCGTGCACGAAACGGTGTGTAATCGATCTCGAACGCGCGTGGACTGGTGGAGAAGGGAGGGAGATGGTGGAGGGATAGTTTTGCGGCCGGTTGCGCCACCGAATATTCCGGTATGTGTGCTATATCGGTATGTGGAGTAATACAAGCGGATGAAATAGAGTGGAAGCGGCGGGTATATAACGATCCTCGAGCTATTTGCAACGCGATATTACGCGATCGAAATATCGGATGGAGGCTTATAATAACAAGGGAGACGCGTTAATTTCAAAAAATTGAAAGTTTTCATCGGCGAGAACGCTAACTTGCGATCGTTAAACAATTTCGTGATACAATTTGTTTTGCAAATATTCGTAATAAGCGGTATTATTATTATTATTATTATTATTATATATATATATATCCCTGGATTGAATTTTTTAAACGTTGAATATCGCGCGTTTCTTCTACGTTCTAAGCGAGAACGAGGAGGAGAATAATAACGAGCAACGTTTCCTTTCGTCTGAATCCATTTAGCTATCGCGAAACGCTCAATTATATCTCATGGCCACGTATTATTATAATTGTTTTTAACGCGTCATCGGTGGTAGACAATCCTTCATATCGCGTCCTTAAAAATAATACATATATATATATTTATGCGTTATACAAATAATAGCAAGAAACTATTCACTCTTACCTTTTAAACACAAGTACAAACACTGCATTCCTTTCGACAAAGGATATTTCAAAGCCTCAAAATAAGTCTAATCTTCTCATCGTTAAACCACCGCCTTCGTATCGCAAGAATGAAAAAGTAAAAGAGGAGAGTAATTTACCAAATACCATCACCGACCGTGAAAATTCAAATTCGGAATGGCCGGTTGATTGGCCACGCTCCCTCCGATTCGAGGGCAACGATGTAACGATGAAAATTTGGCAGATTCACTTTCGAAGCGAATTTTCCAATAATTCAATATAATGGGCGTAGGGGAGGAGGGGAGGGGTGGGTGCATGGTAATTGGTGTTAACGAACACGCTCCGTCATTCACGACATCGAAAATGACTGCGGCCGAGTGGAGCGTTTCCGGCTCACCGGCCAACTTCCGCGGCAGAACAATGGGAGCGCTTAACGCACCGGCGAAAGTCGTTAGTCAGTGTTATATTCCGCATAGGTATGCGCGGCCAGTGGCGGCCAAATGCGTTAATCTAATTTTCTGGGCATCGATTAACGCCACACGGCCAACATGGCCGACCGACAGCCGCCGCGGCGGCGGATAAACGATCGCGCTGAATGGTGGAGGGAGGGGGGGGGGGAAAAAATGGAAATATCACGCGGCACGGCAAGATCGTTTTTCCGCCAGAAATATCACGATGCGGGATGATATCGTTGTTGAAACAGAGGAAACCGGCTCGAAAAACTGCGCCCTCCATTTTGCGAAAAAATAAATGGATAAATCAAGTATTTATTTACGAGGGATGGTGTCTTGGAGATTTGATCGTTGGAGATCGTTGAAATTTAATAAATTAATCATTTTTACCGATCTTGGAGAAGATTCGAGATTTGTAGAAATCGATAAGAAGAAGAAGAAGAATTTTAATAATATAATCGTTACGTAATAAAAACCGAAAAAAAAAAACATTTTTCCCCTCCTATTTAACATTAATCATGGTTAAATGAAATTACTTCCCCTTATCCGTTGAAAAATGACCCTCTCCCAGTCGCGTCGTTATTCATCCAATATTATTATCGATAAATACCTGTAATATTTCGAAATAATTTTTCTTACCGTTTCTTCCTTATCGAACCGCGAAATGCGAGCCAAATAAATAGAACGGAAAACGAACAATAACGATTTTTCCACATTCTTGAAATTCCTCTTCTCCCAGATCCAAAACTTTTCAAAACAACGAAAGCCATCAGTCCAAGATGGCTATATAATTTCTCCCCCCCGAATTTCTTGCTTCCAACATTGGTACACGTACCAATGTTCGCACCAGGTTTTCGTTTATTCGTCGAGCTCGCCACGGGTGGTGTTGCCTTTCTTCTTCCCCGAATCGCGAACGAATTATCGTCCACTCTTTCTTCGCGAAGCGTCCCCAACTTTTGAGAAGATTCGAAATGAGTTCGCGCGATCGATTTTTCGAAAAGAGAGGAGGTTCCCTGAAATTAGCGAAAATCCAACGGTATTGTTGTGAGATCGAATTAGAGGCGAGTTTCGTTCTCGGTCGGCTCCCCTCTCGGCCATCTCTCGAAATTTCTTTTTAATGGCTCGCTTTTCTTCCAACTGCTCTGCTCTCGAACGTACGCAGTTGCGCAACATCCGGCACGATTTACGAGGAAATTAAGCAGGATCGACACGTATCCGACGGTGTATATAACGTCGTTAACGAGTTGACGAGCTTGTTTCGAACGTGTCAAGATGTGGAGGATGTCGTGTTCCTCCGCGTCTACTCGAAAATGAAAATGTTTACGCTTCATACGAGTCTCGAATAATTTTTACTCCTCCGTGATTCGTGACGTTGGACAGCAAGTAGACGTTTATGGAGACCTGTCGTGGAATTTACTCCTCCTCCCCCTCTTACAATGGAATAATATGAAAAATATGGTTAATTGATCTCTTAAATAATCCTCCAACGAAAAAAAAAAAAAAAAAGAAAGGAAAAACTTTCCATCGTATTCCTCGTTCAGCTCTCGAGAGCCGCACCTGTCAGAATCCATCGAAACCGGGGCTGGTTGGAAACTTGAAAACTCGAAGGTGATTGTTAGTTTCGTCACATCTCGAGGCGAGGAAAATGGAGGCCTCCTCCACATTCCGGTTAATCCGACGGCCGTCCACTTAAGAGAGGGCTTTTCATGCCGGTAATCGAGAAAATTGGTTAAGTGGAGGTGCGTATTATTGGAATCGTTAATTTATCGATCGAAGAAACCTGCCCTTTAAACGCATTCTTCTGCCACCGAAGCTACATTTTCGACATTTTCGCTTCGCGGATAGAATAATTTTCAAAATTCCAAATTTCGTTCCAATTTCATTTATCAGAAGAAAAAAAAAACACATCGTTTTGCATCTCTCACTTTCCCCCAATTTCCCCCCTCCGATCGAGTTTACACAATCGCCTCTCTCGATCGCTTAGTCATCGTCGCCTCGAACAAAAGGTCACCCCCCTCCCCCCAACAATGGAGGCCGTCCAGCATAAAGATCCTCTCCGAAAGAGAGGGAGAACAAAAGACATCGAACAAAAACGGGGGAAAAAAAGAAAATCCGTGAAAATCGAATTAACCGCGCACGATTACGAATAACAAATCCACGGCGTTAATGAGCGTCGCCGGAAGCGTACGCGTGCACGCCAAGAGGGGGAATTCCGGAATAAGAGAGAAAGAGAGAGAGAGAGAGAGAGAAGGACACCTGCGGCCGGTTCGCAGCTTCCGGTTCGCCTGTGGGGGCACCACACCAACAAGCGCCAAAGGGGACAGAATGAACCGGTGGTGGTGGAGCCGCGATAAAATCGTCTAATTGTTTCGCTAAGCGTATGCGAATGTCCAGCAACACGCGCGTCCAACAACAACAACAACAACGCTCGCTCACGCACAGTCGTCGCTTTCGTGTCCAAACGTATTTTTCTCTTTCCTTTTTTCGTTATTCTTTTTTTTTTTTTTCCTCCTCCTCTTCTCCTCCTTCGCGTATCCCACGACGATACAACACGACGGGGTTTTTCTTTCCTCGAGGAAAAAAGAATCGGTGATCGAATCATCGGAATCGTTCCCTTTCCTTCGAGATTAATTCGAATCGCGTCGAATTAACGTCAGCCGTGTGACCTCTCCTCCTCCTCCTCCACCACATTTTTGTACGGTGACTCGCGATGCCAAGACAAATCGTTTGCAAAACAATCAAGCGCCTCGCCTCTTCTAATACGATGATGATAATAACATCATTCGCCAAGATGATGGTAATAATTGGCGGGGATTATAATACGCATGTATGTATATATATATATACATTATAGTATAGGATGTGTAGGAGACGATATAATGCGATTCAGAAAGGATACGTTTCGAATAAGTTATTTCTTTTCTTTCCGCGCGGATGATGGTATATCTTTGTGAAATACGTACGTTCTCTCCATTTTCTTCCTTCTTCCAGACGAAGGAAGGAACCCTTGATTCTTTTTTTTTTTTTTACGTATCTATATACAAAGATCAAGTAAGATGATAGTATATGTAAGAGCATTTAAAAATATACATTTACATATTTCGCATTACGATTTAATTTTCTTTCACTATTCACAACTTGCGCGCATCTCGAGGCAACGTTTGAACAACGTTTATTTATGAATCATTTTCCGTACACACTTATTGCATACTCCGTATCAAGATCTTTTTCAGTTCCCCTCCTCCCCGAGGCCGAGAGACGGAAATACGTATGCGAATTCGTAGAAATATAAATGTTTCCCGAGGCGAAATTCGATTCAACAGCGATAAAACGCCGCAACATGTTTCAATCGCGAGCATCGCGCATTGCGGTGTGCGCGTGAGTGGAGGAAACGTCGGTTTAATTACGTTAAATCTGATGTTATTAATCCAAACTGTGTGTTGCCGCGCCTCTTCGAGGAATAATAACAATAATAATAATAATAATAATAATAATAATAATAATATTGTAATATTTTCCTGACCGGTAACGGTAAGAACAGTGGTTTCAGGCGTTGGTAAAAGGCGGTGGAGTGGTGGCGAATAATGGTAGGAAATTGCTGTGGCGTTCCTCTGACCGGACGTGGAGAGCGAATCGACGTGTTAAGCTTAGCAATAAAACAGCTGAAACGGCTGAATATCGGTGTACGTAACACAGAGACTATGTATATGGTTATCTCTGTTTGGGATCTATTCGTTCGGAAAAAGAAGCGGGGAATCAATGATCTCGAACGAAATCTTCGAAAAAATAAGTATCGTAAATTGAGAGAGAATATATATGAGAGAGAGAGAGAAATAAAAAGAATTGTATTAGGAAAAAAGAAAAAAATTAAATTTAAATGGCAATACTAATCGTAGAGCGTTTTATCGACCGGTGTTCTAAGATTAGTATATCCCAGTAATTTTAACCGTTATTATGCTGTTTGTATTTGATAACGCTTAACGCGATGTTGAATATATATATATATATATATATATATATATACGAAGACATAGAATTTTATTTTTCGAATGGAACCCTTGGTTTCTTATCCTTAAACGAAACACGGATAAGATCGAAGAATCTGTTGACGATAATTTTATTCATTTTATCCATGTAAAAAAAAAAAAAAAAAAAATCTTACGGATCAAATTACGGATAAATAAAATTCCAAGTATCGTTAATTGCAGAAACTTCTTCTCAACGCTTCGAAACGAATATTATTATTCATTCGAATAATAATAATTGGCCGATTCAATTAAGATGAGCGTTTCGAATCGACCAATTATCAGATATTATAACGTAACGATTTTTCCTTTCCGAGCTAGTGCGTCAATACGCGCGATAATCATCCTAGGGATAAATCGCCATTTCCTAGGGATACCCAAATCGAAAGGACAAAAAAACCGGTCGAGAAAGAAAAGAGACAGAAAGAAGAGAGAGAGAGAGAGAGAGAGAGAGAGAGAGCCACGAAAAGGCCTAGAAGGGCTCTCGAAACATAATTAGAAGTTGTATCTCCTTGGCGTATGCGATAAGACGGACGGTCATTATTTCTGTGTTTAGATAATCCGGTTTGGATGGACTTTCTCCATCGTGGGATCAGCGGCCTCGTACGGACAACAACCCGACGACGACCATTTAAATGGCGTCTTTAAGAATCGTATCCCTTAAACACCAATTTGAAGGACAAATTATGGGGAAAAGTTGGAAAGATGCTGAACGAATAGGCGAAGGTGGGATGTGAGGCTATGTGTTTCGATAAGAAGAAGCCCGATACGCGAGTACTTGATTAATTTACAACGTGGATCTTTATCCATTCTTAATTCCATTAATTTGATAATGAAACGACCTTTTCCTCCTTTTCTCGAGACGTTTCGATTAAAATACAACTCTCACGTTGATACTTTCTACTTCAACGATCGACAACCAATTTTATTATTTTATTGGGGTATTTCCCAGACGTCTTACAAAACGTCTGAATATAAAAACAAAAGAAATTAGAGAAACAGAATTAACGTATCTTCCTTTCTATAATCAAATAATTCTAAACCAAATATTTTTCTTCCCATTGATTTTAACAATTAATAATCGCGAAAACTCGCTTAAACCACCTCCTCCTCCTCCTCCTCCTCCTTCTTCTTGTCCATCATCGTTTCGAAGAATCGATCGAGTTCACGAGTTCCCTGCTTGAACGACGGGTTTCTAAGCAACACCGTTTTATCTCGAGCGGGCCTGGCTTCGTTCCCATCCGAGATATATAAATATATAAAAGGCGCGTTATTACAAAAATTAAACGACGTTCACGCGATTGATTATCGAAATTACATATCGCCCGACAACGTTGGACGACGACGACGAGAGGGACGAGAACAGAACAGAGCCACGGCTCGATCGCACGTAATTGCACGCGATTCAACACGGACCCGATGGAGATGGATAGATAGATCGACCCGGTCGAGGGGAGGAGGGCTTAATAAGTCGTTTTCGAGAGATAATCCGAGGCGGGTGTGTCATTTGATTTCTTCTTCTTCGTAATTTCGTGCTCGGTCGCGGCGCGGAATGCCGCGTAGATGAACACTCTTCTCCAAGCATCGTGCGCATCGTGCACCGCCTAGATACGCTCTCCTCTCCCTTCCCATCCCCGCGAATCATCTCTATTTCTATCCACCCTTCCCCCCCTGCTGCCTTCTCCAGCGATTCTCAGCTCGAATAATCCCCTTCTTCTTCTTCTTCTTCTTCTTCTTCTTCTTCCTCTTCTTCTTCTTCTCGTCCATAAATCTTAACGGCTCAACTCTTCCAATTCTCCAACAACTCGAGGAAGAGTACGTCGATCGCTCGTATTTACAACTTCTCTTCAAGCAAACTTTTTTCAAACTTTCCTAATGACTCTCCTAAGAATCCTCCATGATTCGTCCAGTTTGAGAGACGCTGGCCCGGCCTCGTTTTTCCCTCGGCCCCGGGGCCACGAGATTACACTCATTCAGAGATTTCGGACGCCGTCTTTTTCCCTCCGCCGCCCCACCACCACGCTCAATGGACCGTGGTTTCTCCGTGGCTGGATTTCCTGCACGTCCTGGACGATCTCGCTCGTGCCCGCGGGGAGTCTTTCATTCACCTTCCACGAGGAGGAGGGGGAGGAGGAAGCCAGGACGAGAGGTTCTTCTTCACGGTTGCACCACGAAATTAGCTCGTACCTGTTTCCCTGCCCGTGTCCCTCCCTGCGCGTGGGACGAATCCACGACTCTTTTGCCTGGCGCCAACCCATTTTTTTTTTCTTTCTTTTCTCGTCCTTGGATCAAACGCTTAATTGCGCGGGATGCAACGAATCATCGATCGTGAAATTGCGCGCGATCTCGGGGACACGGTTGAGAAAGAAAGAAAGGTCGCTTCTTCGACGCGATTTGCCGTCGCTCGAGGAGAAACATTTTGATTCTATATTCATTTCATAAATCTGATAATCTTCCTCGAATTCTCGCGAATATTACTGAACGGTATATTCATCACGGATCGATTGACGTGTCTTGACGTGACACGTAGGATTTATAAATTTTTACAAAACGAAATCGAAATTGTTTCTTGAATGATTTTTTTTTTCTTTTTAATGTTTTAATTCTCGAAACGTTCATCGAATCGACGTTGTACACCTCTTCCTCGAGGAGGACAATCCTCCTCGTGTCTAATTACCCGGTCGTAAAACGAGCAAATTATTACATCCACGCGTTCTTCCCGTCCATCGAAGGAACATCCATTACCGGAGAGAGATCTCTCCCTCCCTCCCCCCCTCCCCCCCACCGTAATAACATGTCGTCTTGAGGATGAATCGTGGTCAGTCGGATAAAAGCAACGGGTCTCGCGGGGCGAGCGGAATAAGAAGGCGAGACGGGAGGAGGAGAGGGAGGAGGGGGGCGACGATATCGAGAGGAGAGGTTGTTCGAGGAAGAGATAAAGCGGCTTCGAGCTTTCGACTCGGGGGAGGAGGGGGGGAGGGAAGGTAGATGGGGAGCGAGGGAGGGGAGAGAGAGTGGGGGAGGGACGATTCAAATTAAATGCCGTTGAAAGAAAAAATGATCGAGTAATGACAGCGCCGGGCCTTGAGCGGTGGCTCATGGTATCTTTGAAGGCGCGGTGGAGAGGAAGGGAGGAGGACCGTGTGATTACCCATCGACCAATAGCCGTGCTCAGAGCGGCCATCATGGCCCGTGGAAGACGTGCAATCACGCGGTTCTCCAGCATCTTCCTCGGGATAGGATGGGATGGGATTATTTTTCGTCTCTGCCTTCCTACGTACGGCACGCGTGAATCTTCCTCGAATCCAGCAAGAACCAACAATGTATCATCACCCACCCGTGCCTCCGAAACGATAATACCTCTCGGCCTTGGACAGATAATGGAGAAACGAAACGGTTCGAGATTATAAATTGGTGGAAATCGCGTTCCGAGTTTAAAATTCTCTCTGGGGGAGAGAGAGAGAGAGAGAGAGGAGGGAGAGAGAATGGAGGAGACGAAGCGATACATATATAAGCGAAATATTTTTGAAAAAGAACGGGATATCATCACAGGAATCTGAAACTTTCGAACGTGTGTCGCGTTAAACGTAATTGCGCCATTATTTTTGCGTAATTTCTTTAAACAAGAAAATTAACGGCAAGATAATCGCTAGTTTCTATCTAAGAAAATATTTTAAAAGCGTTAATTTCTGTAATAACAACGGACGGCAATGAATTTTCCTTCGCGACACTTAGAGTTGCATGCGATTTAATAATCGGTGTACCGTTGCGTCACGGTGTGGATATAACCAGGCCTCGAGAAGGGGACGACACGTTTTGGTAAAGGTGTAACATAGTTGCGCAAAAGCAAAACTAGATAATGGCCGCTTTCACGTACCGTAGCCTCGCACGGCGGTTCGGCGAACGTATGTAATTTAACAAGTACGGCTTATCCGACAGCCATCATTGATGAGCAGTGAGCCCTATAACGTTAATTATTTTCACGGTTCTCAAACTCGTCTTTTTAGACCCCTCTCTAACAGGCAACAACAACAACAACAACAACAACAGCAACGCTGTTCATAGAAATTGGTTCATAGAAGTTGCTCGGTGTAATTAGCCTTGCCTCCACACACAGAGAGAAGCCATTGCTCTCAAAACTACTACTACTTCTTCTGCTTCTGCGGGAAAGAAAAGAAAAAAAGGATAAATAAAATTTAATTTCATCGTGTAACGATATCAACAACGTTACCAGATTACGTATATACGCGCACGCATATACGTGCATAATGTATCGTAACATCTCGACAGCGACGTAGCAAAGTCGCACAGAGATTGAAGAAACACCCGCAATTAAACTCGACTCGATGAAAACACGCGGTAGCGTCTCAATCGGGAACAATTAAGTGTAATGAATTCCAAAAGGTACGAGCATGAAACTCGGGTATTTGCATGATACATTGCCGTGGCACGATGCGCGTCGACTGAGAACCGGCAATTTATGACCGCATATTTTTCTTTTAACGATAACGCTTAAGCTCCTCTGTGTAATTGCATCCTGTACGCTTTAAGCCCTGTCCACATACACACACACACGGGGATCAGCTGTTCGTCCAAGCGGCGGCCATATTGCGATGCGCGCGCAGCATTTTAAACCCTCGGTCCTTTTCTCTTAACCTCCCGTTCCCTCCTTGTTCCTTTTTTAACGCGATACCTTTTTTCCTTCTTTTTTTTTTCCCCCCCCTTTTTTCCCCACTATCTACGAATGATCGGCCGACGATTTCACTCGGCTCTCGTGTGAAACGCGGATAATGACGAGCAACCGTCGAAGGCAGGAATAGCCGCCGCTTAATAACTCGTTAATTATCGTTTTAGGAAATCCGCGCGCACATCCAATTACTTTACGTAACTCCCGCGCCTTCATTTCTCCGTTCTGGTCGCGGTAATTGGTTTAATTGCGTTTCGCAAACGCGAGAGAGAGGGAAAATATGGAGGGAGAGAGAGAGAAAGAGAAAGAGAGAGAAGAAGAAACTCGGATCAGAGAGAAGAAAGGGGACTTTTGTTGCGAGATTTTCTCCATTTCGTAGAGATTTAAAGAGAAAAGTATACAACAACTTGAGAAGATTGTCTTTTTCTCTCTCTCTTCTTTTTTTTCCGATTTCCTTGGACGATCTCTTTCATCGATATCGACGAGTTCACATCGATCGCGTTCACACTTCCGGTGAGCGTGATAATAATTCGTTAAAAATTCGTTTTGCCCGCGATTAATTACGAATGGATTGCAATCCGGTCGTAGGAAAAAAAAAACTTTCTCCTTTGATTTCTCCTCGATAAAAATGGAAATGGAATCGCTAATTATCGCGTGTTGTAACGAGAAAAATTAGTAGAATGGCGAGGCGAATTTTTCGAAAGGTGAACGTTGTGGAAATATCGGGGTTTTTCTTTATCTATAATTAGAGATTATTTCCAGGTTTCCGCTTCTGTTTTTTTTAATTGTTAAAAAAGTTCTATAGCGGTTAAAGACATTGATCCGATATTGCAACAACTCTACTCGATGAGTAAGATTTTTATTCGATATGAAATATTAAATTTCCAATTACTTCGATTCCCGATCGTATCCTCTTAAGTTAAAAACAAAGTGTCGAAATAAATCGATCGAATCGATAGTTGATTATTCGAACGAAGTTAATCCTGATGATTTACTGTTTAGAAATTTGTGTTCAATTCAAACGACGTAATAACACAATAACAC